ATATATATATATAGGTAGATAGATAGTTTAATTTATCTCAATTTTTGGTTTAACTTTTTTTAGTCGAATATAATGCAATCCAAATAATCCTTTGAATAAAAAAAATAAATTGAATTAAATCAATCAAATTTATTCGATTCCATTAAATTTTCCAATTTTAACCAATTCTCTCCCATTGGTTGTATTTTTAATCTCAAAAGCACGAATTATTTGGCTCCTCCGCGAGATTAAAGATAATAACAGAAAAACCGGACATGAGCTCATAACTATTGCCTGCTTACACGGAACTTAAAAAGGGTCAAATATACATCCTAGCTGAATGATAATTGCTACTTTGGGAGGCATGAACTACATTATAAAATAAAAATTTTAAACCGCTTTAGTGATGAAAGAGGAATTCCATTGAAATTCATGACTCATTCCGAAGTCAAAATTTATATGGCTGCACTTTATTTGGAGACAATCACAAATTTTAAGGTCAATTTGGAACTTAAAGTAACCATCAAATTTGAAGATTTATGGGGAAGTTACATACTTAGCACCCAATTCTTATGTTTTTACATGCCCAACATCTAAATTTTACATATTTTCATTTAAACCTCCCAAATAATTTTTATCACATGAAAAATATCACCAATTGAAACTTTTAAAAAGTGAAATACACTTTTTCATGATATATGTAAAAGTTCAAGAAGATTAGGTGTTCGATATATAAATACATAATAATTGAAGGGTATGTATGTAAATCTTCTAAATTTTTTTTATTTAATCCATACTGACATACTGCGATAACACATGAAGTATAATTTCCATATATATATATATATATATCTAAATTTATGGCATTATATATGAATCTGTAGACAATATTATATGTATTTCGACAAGTTCAATGGTGCCCAATGCAACCACCTTTGTTCCAGTTTTTTCGACGCGCAAGAAAAAAACATAAAATCTTCACATTAAAATGCAACAGAATGAGTCTCACAAAAGTTAAAAGCTCTTTAGCCAATAGAAAATAGTCGACCGTTCTCATTATTTTAATTTATTCATCAGGAAAATTAATTCAGATGGCAGACTGATCAATAACACATTTGATAACACAAACCTAAAAAAGACGAAGATGACTAATAAAACTAATTCAAGCTTCCTATTGCATAAATGATATCAGGCTCCCGGTTTTGCTGGTAGCCTCTCCTGAAGGATCTTAACGCCCATGTACCTAGTTCATTCAAGAGGGTGTTAGTATTATAAAAAATGATACATTTACATACATGCCACCCAATTGCTATGCATTTACATTTCTAACTTCTAAACTTTTCTTTTTAACATTAATACCACAATTTTTAACTCTTAAAAAGTGAAATGCACTCACCTTTTCATGCATGTATGCAATTAATATTAAACTTTAGGTGTTAGATATGTAAATTACTAGCAATTGAGTGGCATGTTTGTAAATGTTTCATAAAACATTTGCACCTGGTAAATATTTCCTAGATATTTTTATTTTTTTTTTCGAAAAAAACGATATGTAGATATTCATGTTTGTAAAAATTGTTTAAAAAATAATTCCAAAATTTTCTAATGCTGGTTTTTGTGTTTATATTATTTTATGTGTCCATAAGGGTTTTGATTTTGTAAACATGAGGATTAAAAAAAGCTTAATTTTAATAATGTCTTTCAATAATGTCGTGCTTAAGGCCATCATAGTCATGGAAATTTTTAGTTCTAAATGAGAATGGAAAATATTTTGATTAATTGATCCGCTTTGGATGTCATGACATGCATGAAAACTTTTGTTAAAACACTTATATTCATGTAGAATTAATATTTCTATAAAAAAACTTATGCATTGTAACATTTAAATTTGTGCAGATAAATGCTCGAATCGCTGGCTGTGCAAGATCTCAAGCCCCGTGCCACATCGCATTTATGTTATATTGTGCATTTATGGTATATTGTGCCACGAGTCCCACCCGGCTGTTCCCCATAATAACCGTGAAAATTATATCTAAAATCTTGTGATATAATCCTTAAAAAAGATGATAAATTAAACTATCCTTAATTATAAAATAATTAATTAATATTTAAATTATTATTTTTATCTCTATTGAAATTTCTTTTAATGTTTAACTAATTTTATATAACTTTTACATACCACATAATTCTCTTATGTATTTGTATATCTAACATTTATATTTATAGCATTTTTTATAATAATAATAATTTCGAGGGACAGACTTACCTTCCGAGCATCATGACGGTGGCCTGAGGATTGGTCCCCGGCGAGTAATAGAAGGTGGAGCCATCGATAACCCTGAGGCCATCAACCCCAATAACTCTATAATCCCCATCGACAACTCTCCCCACCTGGCACCCTCCATGGTAATGCCAGATCGTCATCACCGTATCCTTACAGTACTGCTCCAATGACCTGGAGTCGTTGTCGTGCTTCGGAAGCAGGTTCACCGGAAAGCTCACCGTCATGTTGAGCAGAGCCCCTACGGAGATGAATGGGTACCTGAAATTGGTAAAGGCTTTGGACTCTATGACTCTCTCGATCGTCTTGAGGCCTTCCACGCATCGCCGGAGATCCAGCGGGTCGCTGAAGTAGTTGAAGGTGACGGAAGGGTTGTCGTCGGGGTTGTGGGTTTTGAGCTCCAGGGGGCCTGGAGAGCGGTCCGATCACCTTTTCGAGGATGAAGCCGCCGCGGAAGGCGGATTCGTCCAGGCTGTTCATGGCCTTAACGGCGCTTTCGATGGCTTCGGGGGTTCTTTGCTTTGGGGGAACGGTGGAGAGCTGCCCCGTCTGAAATGTCATGGCTATTTTGTCATTGCTAATTAATTCAATTCAAACAATTGTTCTAGAGAAATATATTTATTTGATTGGATCTTAAAGATCACAAGTTTTGTGCAATTTATAAGAATTTCAAAATTTTAAAATTTGTACAATTTTCTTATTATTTACATAAATGCCATATAATTCTTATTATTTACATATTAATCATTTAAAATTCTGAGGACAATGTAGCCAATCTTGTGATTATCAGCTCTAAGATGTTGAAACTCTGGAATACTTCTAAAGAAAAAAAAAAACTCAATTTTCAATGATAATTTTAAATGATGATATAATCTATTGGCAAATCAAAGATTTACAAAGGAAATTGAGCCGATAAACAGGCTCAATTTTGAGATGATATGAGCGAGTCAGCTCGAAATTGAATCCATGAAAATCATGAGCCGATCTGAAGTCAGCTCATAAAGATTCCCTCAGATTTCAAGCCGACAATCAGCAGGAAAAGGCCATAATCAATAAATTTAAAAGGAGGCGAGAACATTCCAAAATTCCTCGCCGCCGGCGGACCCGCACCACCACCACCACCATCAGCCGAGCTAGCAAAAAAATGCCCGCTGGCAGCCTCGACATAAGTCCCAAACCTCGTAATCCCCACCACCTGTATCAGCGACGTCTCTACTGGCGACGGCGACGGCACAAATATAGCATTCATGGGATTATCGGACATCCCCTTCCCCACCATCGGCTGATCCACCACCACCTTTATCCCCAACTTGTCCAACTCTTCTTTCGGCCCCACCCCGCTTAGCATGAGCAACTGCGGACTCCCAATCGCCCCCGCCGACACCACAATCTCTCCCCCTCTCTTCACGTACGCCCTCTTCCACCTCCCAATCGCATCCCTATACAGCACACCGCTCGCCGCCACCTTATTCCTCCCCTTCAAATTCCACAGTATCTTCGACGCCGTCGCCCGTAGAAGAACCGTTAGTCTTGATGGGTTCGCGTACGCCAGCAGGTCCGCTGCCGTGTGCCGGTGTCCGTCTCGGTCAAAGATAGTTCCCCCGACCTGCACAGTAAGTTTTTCTTTTGGATTTACATATATACCCTTTCAATTTTATACATTCATTTTTTTAATATATTTTTTTTTACATATTTATTTATAAACAATTTTGATCTGTAAAATATGTAAAAGCCATAATTTTTTTCTTTCTTACTTGAAAGATAAACGTGTTGTAAATTAAGTTTACAAATTTAAGTACTAAAATGTTAAAACATAAATAAAGCTGCAAGCTTGCATAAAATTTTTAAATCCCAACGTATAATTTAGACGGAGTGTTATAATAAAATAATCATATATTCTAAATTAAGTTTTAAGCTAGAAAGCATTTATTATTAAATTTGTTATAAGAAGGCACCTTCGTCCCGTAGATGTGGTCAAAGGTGAATCCATTGTACGGCATGATACCAGCCTCCAGTAAACCGTTCCTCACCGCCGACTGCCACTGCAGCATTGGCGGCTCAAACGCAACCAGCCGCTCGACCCACCCATAAGACTCATTAACAAGCCGCCCGTCATTCCACCCGGCCCGACGAACATAGTCCTGGCTTGCCCGAGTATAAAACCCAGCGTTCAGGCAGCTGCCGCCGCCGAGCACACGAGCTCGGGCGTTTATAACACCGTCCTCGGACACGAATCGCTGCGACGCTGATGTCGGAGAGACGTCTGCGAGGGTGTCGGCGAAGGAGGCGAGGTTAGTTATGTTGCTGTTGCCGTAAGGAGAGCCGCCGCGTTCGAGGAGGAGGACGTTGAAGTTTTCAGAGAGGGTGGCCGCCAGGGGACATCCGGCGGTTCCGCCGCCGATGATTATGTAGTCGTAGTAGGAGATGGGTGGAGCTTCCGTGGCATGCTTCAAGAATGCGTATTTCGGAGCTGCGATCAAGCCAGATTGATAAATATCAAATAGTTGGGCCTTAGTAATGAATATCAATAAATGCATTTTAAAATTTTAGGGACATCTTTGAAGTCAACTTAGCAGATCCGATCATGGTTAAAAATCTTAATGGTGGCTTAACAAAATTGATTATTCTTAAATAAAACGGACATCATTGAAGTCAGCTAAAAATAGATTTCTTTTGAGATGAATCAATACAATAATTATTATCAGGATACTCTAGTTAAAATTATAATCATGAAGAGCCTTAAATTTCTTTTATGTGTTAGGATAAATGCACTGCATGGCTATTTTTCATCATACTATTTTCAAAATAATAGGCGCCATCCAGATCACGTTTTATTTAGAATGTTTTGATGTATAATTCTGAGTCAATTTTACATAAATTTGAAGCACAACATTTTCAGTTCAATCAGCCCAAATTTGATTCTACAACCAAATTGCAATCGTTGTTTAAAATTTATATAAAATAAAAAAAAAAAATCAGTTGATTTTTTCCACAACTGTGATAATAAATGAAAGGGGGTTCGCCTCAATTTCTTTACAATTCCAGTTTTCTGTTTATTCTCATTTCATCAATAATTTTCTTCCAAAATTTTTGTAATTTTTTCTTGAATGATTTACATACATACCACTGACACAATTCCTATGTATTTACATATCCAACAACTAAATTGAATTTTTACTCACAAACCACCTTACTTAGTGGTGTAAATCTAAAAAGAAAAATTTAGATGTTAGATATAAAAATACATAGGAATTGGGTGGCTCCGTATTTTTAATTATGCTCTAAGCCTTCAATTTTCTTCAAGCTAAGTAAGCTATCAAGTCAGGCCAAAAAAGCCTTTGTGATAACTAGTTTGAAAAGTGACCTAACATACCTTCGACAGTACCAAAGTAGTATAAATATGCCGAGCTAAAAGAATTATCATAATTAAAAAACTTAATCGTGAGGTATATAAGCATAGAAATAAAAATAAAAATCTTGATATACAACCCTCTCATGAGAAGACACAACTCCATACCAATTCATTCTTATTTATTTACAAATCCGACACTTAAACATTCTTATTTATATCCATATCCTTCAAATCTTTAAAAGCACATAAAAAAATATCATCATGATTCATGCCTACCTTTTTAAAAGTGAAATAGTTTTACATGCATAAGTTTATGACACTTCTAAGTATAAATATGAAACTTTAGGTGTTAGATTTATAAATATAAAAGAATTATGTGTTATGCAAGTAAATTTCCCAATAAATAATTTATTGTATTCATGAACTTCGTTACCGAAAATCACCATTAGAAACTTAAGGACTTCCGCTCGCAGAAACCATAGAGATGAGGATTATACCTATTTCAGAGTGGCAGTAACCAACAAAGCACAGAAAAAGCAGAAGATAACTCCTCATCCTTCCAAAGTCCATCCTTCACAGGAAAGAGAGGGGAGAGATAGAGAAAGAGAGAGAGAGAGAGAGTTGTTGGAGAGGCTGGATTTGAGAAGCAAAGTTTATATAAATAGAAGAGAAGAAAACTAGAGCTATGGTTAGGTTATTGGGCTAGAGATAGAAGAGCGGCTAAGCAGTGCAAAGATAACTCCATTTTTCTTCGGGAGTTTGTTTTCACCTACCGCCAGAGAGCTGAATATATGCAGTAACTGTCGTTCATATAAAGACGACGCCTTTAAACACGCCTGGCGTATGAGACACTTCAAAAGTAAAAAACTGGTGAAAAAAAATGGCAGTGTGTCCTATAATAATGGCAAGACAACCCATTTGCTGTATTTATAATTTTCATTATAATTATGGTTAATTTTTTCTTTCCGTCTTATTTACTTGTATTTTCTAATCTTTCTCACATTTAGAATTTAGGTAAAAATTATGATGAGAAGCGCCAACTTATAAATATATATCATTTTTATTCTCATTTTGTACTAGTGAAATCTTCTTCTCTATAGATGTAAGCGAAGCAACTTAAGGTCGAACCCTACAAATCATTGGTGTTTGATTGTTGTTGTGTGAGTTTCTACACTTCAGCATTATTTTAACATAGCAATTGGTATCAGAGTTTCAGGTTTGTGATCCGAGCGTATTTCGACGTCGACAACAGCAAATTTAGTGTGTGTTGTTGGAAATTTTTGCAGTAGGTGGTCAGACCCGCTTTGCAGATTGACAGCAGGCAGGCCGGAGGGTTGGACATGAAGATTCGGCATGTCGGCTCATGAAGAATTGCAGTTTTGGCGAGTCCAGCAGTGCCGGTGGCGGTTCCCGCGAGGTCATTTGACGAGCTCCGGTGTGCAAAGTATTCCGTGGAACAGTATGGCGGAAGGGAGACTAAAAAAAGGTTTTAGGAAAGAAATTTCTTTAAACAGGAAAACTTCTGTGAATGAGCAGATTTTGGAAACAAAAAAAGAAAATCGTCTTTTAAGAAGGAAATTTTTTTCTTAAAGGAAGGAGAAAATTACATTGAACACATTTTGTTTCCAATTCAGTTCTGAAAAGAAGATTATGAAAAAAAGGATTTTGATAAGAAAAAAAATTTTCTTTCTTTTCGGGAAATAAGCAAGGGTTCCTACATTACACACAGATGCAGATAAAAAAGTTAGTCCATGAAACTAATGAAAGTAGTATTAGGATAGGATCTTGGAATATAGGTACTCTCAATGGTAAATTAATGAAATTAGTTGATATTATGATTCATAGAAATATTAATATCTTACATATCAAGAAACTAAATGGGTTGGAGAAAAAACTAAGGAGATTGATAACTTAGTTTTTAAATTTTGGTATTCTGGTAAGAGTTTCACTAGAACTGGTGTAGGTGTAACTATATATACGAGTTTGAATAATAATGTTGTAAAAATTAATAGAGTTGTAGATAAAATTATAGCTTTGAAGATTATTATTCATACCAAGATTTTTATTATTATAAGTGCTTATGCTCCTCAAATAGGTTTAGATATAGGGTCGAAAGATAAATTCTAGAATGACTTAGAGGACTTAAGACAAATGATACCTCTTGAAAAAAGAATTTTTATTAGAGGAGATTTAAATGGACATGTCGGTAAAGTGGTAGAAGATTTCAGAAATATCCATGGTGGCTACGATTTTGGAGTAACTAATGAAGAAGGCAGAACTATTTTAGATTTTGCTTTAGGGTATGGTTTCGTTATTACTAATATTTTATTCAAAAAAATAGACGAACATCTTATTACTTATAAGAATTGATTTAATAAAACATAAATCGGTTATTTTCTTGTGAGGAGAAGAGATCATCGAGATTATAAAGATTGTAAGGTCATTCCAAGTGAGGATTTAATTGCCCAACATTGTTTATTAATTTTAGATTTTAAGATAAAGAGTTGTAAAATAAAGAATGCTAGGACTCATCATCGTAGAATTAGATGGGGGAACTTAAAATACATAAATAAAATTATTTTTATGAGTAAAATTCAATATTACAAAATTTGGGATGTTCATGAATATACAAATGCTATGTGAGATAAAGTAATAAACAATATTAAATAAGTAACAAAAGATGTACCTGGAGAATAAAAAAAAATTTCTATGAATAAAAATAATTGGTGGTGGAATAATAATGTGCAAGAAAAGATAAAATATAAGAAGTTATACTATAAAAGTTGGTTTAAATGTAAGAGTTTAGAGAATTGGGAAAAAATATCAAACGGTCCGTAGGGAGTCTAAAAGAATAATCCGTGACACTAAAAATTCTACTTTTAATGATCTTTAAAATAGATTAGATACTAAGAAGGGTGAAAAATATATGTATAAACTAACCAAACAAAGAGAAAAAAAGTAAACATTTAACTCAAGTAAAGTGTATTAAAGATGAAAATCAAAAAGTGTTTTTTCTTAGAACAAGATATTCAACATAGGTGGGTGAGCTATTTTGATAAATTTTTCAATGAAGTTTCTGAAAATAAAATCGAACTTAGTGATCTTAATATCCTTAATAATAATAATACGTTTCATTTTTACCATCACATTAGTGAAAAAGAAGTTTAGGACGTTTTAAAGAAAATCATGGGTGGAACGAGTGGAAAGTTTGTAGGACCTGATGAAATCCCAATTGAAGAATGGAAATGTTTAGGTGATTTAAGAGTTTCCTGACTTACTAAATTTTTTAATATTATTTTAAAAACTAAAAAGATGTCTGAGGAGTGGAGGAAGAGTATTTTGTTCTCCATTTTTAAGAATAAAGGGAATGTGATGCGGGTGGATTTAGTGTATTAATTTTGCAAATATTTTTCAATATTAAAAAATATATACAATATTTACTATAACAAATATACAAATTAATCCCAACAAAACAATTTCAGTTAAATAGTTTTATCTTTTAAAAATTTTTAAACTACTAAATCCCCTTTAAAAATAACACAAGTTTACGTATCGCTCAAGTAATAAAGGGCTCTAATGGAGTCCTAAATATTGATCCCACAGGAAAGTTAGAAATGCCTGTAAATAAGTTCTTAAGATTAAGTTTGAATATTAAGTAATAAGTGAATGCTAATTAAATGCAATTGAAAGACAAAGTTAACTAAACTAGATGCTAAACTTTGATAAGTAAACTTACGAAAATTAAACTAAGCTTTTGTGTCGGAAGTTCAAATTTAAGAAATCATTATTCCTATTTAAAATGAGTATATGGATTGTGAGAAAATTAAAATCATTTGAAAATATATATGAAAACTATTTTGTACTAAATAGGAGCAATCCTACCATTTAGCCTCTTCCAAGTGCATAAAGAATATTGACTAATCCAGAGTTTGGTCCCAAATTCCATGGTTAGGATGGGAGGATACCGGCTGCCACCCCAGAGCTCTCACAACTCCCTCACCCGAAGGCTAACAATCTCGCTTCAGTTTTCAATCTACTTGACCAAACTGGGGATTTCGATCTGTCACATTAAAATCTCTAATTCTGCATCCAATAAAGTATATTTCTCTATTTATTTACACCTAACTCCATGGATGAAATACTCTCCCATGAAATCAAATGTGATTCTCCACATGTTGTAGAAATCAAAGCCCTTTCGGAACATATGTTTTTTAACACATTTTAACAATTCAATTGACCAGCTCAAAAAGTAAATATAGATCAGAGTTCAAATCGTTACAAATTATTGACATTTAAAAATATATTAAATAAAATCAATTCTTCATAAAAACATATCTCAAAGTAGGGAGAGGGATAAAGAAGACTACTCAGAATTAATGAGAATGATACGATAAAACATGAATTTCATATATAAAAATAAGTTTACAACACAAAAGAAATAAAAGACACAACTGAAATAAAAGACACAACTAAAAGAAATAAAAGACACAACTTATCTCACAATCCTTGCCAAGAAAATACCTAGAAGTTATCTTCAAACCTTTCTCTTTTTACCAGCACTCTCAATTCTCTCTCTAGAGCTCTCCTCTTAATCCCTAGACTTCCCCTCTCTTTTATCAAATGTTGCCTCCCTCCAAAAAGAATTCAAATCCTCCCCAAAATTCTGTTCAAAAGTCAACTCTTTTGAATTCAAAAGATACGTCCATTGATCCAAGAGATATATCCCTTCATAAAAAACCTTCCAAAGTGTTTAGACACATTGAATCACTTCAATGGGTGTTTAGAACAAGTGTCCCTTTGAAAATTCACGTAAAATTTGTCTCGAATCGTCTTAATCTGCAAAAAGTCGTCTCTGGTGCATCATGCACCAACTCTTTGTCAAATGGCGCATCTGACGCCAGTCTGGGGCATCATGCGCCAATCTGGCGCATCTTGTGCCAGAATTCAAAAATTCTTTATTTTGGCTCCAAATTTCGTCTTTTTTGCTACTTTTACTCCAAATGCCTAAAATTGATAATACCTACAAAAAAACATGAAAATACCCTTCTTTAAAGTGCAATATTACCAATAATAAGCATAAAATATATACTTAAAACTACATATTATTTTGGTGTATCAAAATCCCCCAAACTTAAATTTTACTTGGTCTCAAGTGAAACTATTATTGCATAAAAGCATATGACTTAGGATAGAGACTAACTTATAACTTCTATACTTTGGTTCAATAAATAAAATAGTAAAATTTAAGAAAAACCTTTAATAATTTAGATTTAACTTCTAAGTTTAAGAGTACTTAGTAGTCAATTTTAAGATTTCCGAATCTTTATTCATTTCAAGAAGAATTGTAATTTGTTATATCAAGGATATTTAGAATATTCATATGAAAAAGAACTTCATTAAAACTTTACTAAAAATGCTACTAATATTCCAATATAAGTTTAGAAAATGTAATAAAGCTTTTTTCTTAAGTTCATTCAAGTGAAGCCAATTTTTTCCTCAAGCTTCTCCTCACTTAATTTTCTTTTATTTTATTTTTTTTCGTTTTTTTTTTCTTTTAGGATCTTTTCAATCATTTATTTTATTTTTCTTTTTCAAGTGAGGATTACTATATCTGGATAGCCTTTAATAGTTTTGAACTTCACTATCCTCTTCTTAAAGTCAAAACCCTTACCTTTCTTTACTTTATAAATTCATATTAGCTTATGATTTTCATAAAGTCTCATTCTTTTCTTCTTACATGAAACTCTAAAATTCTTAACACTTCAAAAATATAATTTCTTTTACTTTAAATAGAAAAACGTTGTCTTATCTTATCATACCAAATATCTTTAATAATAGAAGTGACCTTCATTATTAAAA